TGATTCAAGGCACCCAGCAACAAGACACAGCAACTTTGACCCTATGTTAACATTACCGTAAGAGGACTGGGGATTTTGCCTTGCAAGTGCAAAGGCAACAAAGGAGCTTCAGTTCATGGCGGTGGAAGACAGCAAAAGCAATAAGCATCTTTCTGCCCCATTTATCTTACTCAGACTACTGGGGATTAGGACGGTACAAAACTAATCACTCACACCTGTAGAGGTTTAGGCATCACATGCCCTTAACCCCCCATCATTCCAGATTGTTTTAGGAGGGGAGGAATCTAAACATGGTTGTACTGTATATAACTTGTATTCTGTACTATGCAGAAGTTACTACCAGTCAGTGGTTTTAAGCTTTGTATAATCAAGAGTATCAAAAAGTGCATGATGTCTGTACTGCCTTGTCGAGGGTAATGAATAGAAAAGGGTCTGTCGGGATTTAGCTCAGTGGTTCTGCTGTCTGCCTCACAAGCACTAGGACCCGAGTTCGATCCCCGATACCAAAAAAACAAAACAAAAAAAGAAACATACCTCTGTTTTAGCGGGGCATGGTGGTGCATGCCTGTAATCCCACCCAGCACTTGGGAGGCTGAGGCAGGAGGATTGCTGTGAGTTCAAGACTGGCCTGGGCTACATAGTTCCAGGTCAGTCTCAACTACATAGTGAGACCCTATCTCAACAAACAAAACAAAAAAACGAAAAGGGTCTGTGGGTGTCCTAGGAGAAGCTTCTAAAGAGTCAGCGTCACTGTTGAGTTTACCAAGTGGAGATGTTGCCTGTCAGTACACTCACTGTTCATTAACCACAAAGACAGTTCTGCTGGTACAGAACAATCTATGAAGTCAGAAGCCATTATAGAAATAAAATACTTTTTAAAATGTATATAGTATTTGTTTTGACTTAGAAAACTGAGTTGTAATGTTTTGCCTTGTATGAGTTTTATACTTTATTTTGAAGTGTTTTGATTACAAACAAATTTCTAAGAAAATCTAAATAGCATACCTGTAGTCTCTTTTTGTATTCTCAAGTTCTTTATATAGACTAATCACAGTTTGACCATCCTGGGGAGCATAGTCTTACTTATATATTCACAGTGATACTTTAAATAAATAATTGGCTTTAAAAAGCCATATGCAAAACAGAGATGATCTCATCAAAATAAGTGCCTGGATGAAGGCAGGTTTAGACTTTAGGCACAAATATGAAGTGCATTTGTTGTTATTCCTGGCTTTCCTTAATATGTAGGACTTCCATATATTGTAATCATTCAGATTGGCTACTTAAGTTACATGCTTTTCTTTCTTTTTTTTTTTTTTCTGGTACCAGGAATCAAACTCAGGACCTTGCGCTTGCCAGGCAGGTGCAGCTCTACTGAGTAAATCTGTGGCCTAAATTACATGCTTTTCTAAAGTGTACTTCAACTAATGCTTGAAATTGGAAGTTAGATTTCTTGCTGTGGTATCAAAAGTATCTTCTGCTAAAGGGAGGGGCAAAAAGGCTGGTAAAAGCATACTTAGGTGACCTGAGGGTAAATCTGGTGAGTCTTTTTATAGAAAAATGACAAGGCACTTGAACAGACCCTTTTCCTGAATGGCCTCCCATAGACTGTCCTGTTGCCTGTTTTAGCACTGGTAACAGCATTCTTTCCTGCCACCCAAGTCTGCCCAGCCAGTTTCTAGAACAGTAGATCCTAACTTTCTCATAACTGAAAAGGCGAAAAGACCAAAAAAAAAGAAAAGAAAAAAAAAAAGTGCAGGTCCCTGTATCATAATTTTTGTTTACTTTTCTCTAAGAACACATAAATGAAAAGAAGCTGTAGATGTCATCCAGTAACAGCAATGTATAAAGTTTTTAAGTCAGGTGAGATTACTTGGTCTTTTTAGCGGGTTCTCAGACCTTTCACAGTAATATCTGGGGCTGACAGGTTAGAACTTACCCCAGTATTCTTGTATAATTTATGGTTTTAACTAAAGTGCATTGTTTTACTTGTTTACATCCTCCCTTCAACCTCAGTTTATTTGGGAGGCAGTACCAGGGAATTCAACTCAGGACCTTGCACTCATGAGGCCGGCGGCTTGGTGCCAACTGAGCTAAATCCCTGAAAACCTCAATTTCTGAAGTTTTGATAAATACATAATACATTTTTATTAGTTATTTATGTTGCATACTTGATACCTTTCCTTCCCACTTTTTTCCTGAACTTTGAGAGTTTACACCCAAGCACATTAAATTACAAAGTAACAGTCTTTATTTGGGTTTGCACTTAATGTGTCACACATACCAAGCTGAAAATGTTAAGAGTTAATGTTCCTGCTAGGCCTAGGCATGAGTTCCAGCCCAACCTGAAGAGATCTTGTCTCAAAAAGAAATGTTCCTAACTAGTTGCTCTACTTACAGTAATCTGTACCAGTGGTTCCAGTGGCTAAAAAGCAAGCAGGAAAAGGTTTACTTATAGATTACAGGGTCCCTGCTAGATACCCTGAACTAAGTATTAGGCCTAGGAAGGGTTCCATGGAATCTTCAACTTTTAAAGTTCTATGGGCTATTATGTATGTTCTTTATGTTCTAATAGAACTGGGCCCAAGCCCCAGTGTGTTACCTCCAGGGTTGGCTGAGCAAGGTGGCACATACTTATAATCCTAGCACTGAGGGAGGCTGAGGCAAGAGAATCAAAAATTTAAGACCAGCCTGGGCAACTTAGTGAGACTGTCTCTCTAAATAAGGTTTTTTGGGGGGATGGGTACTGGATATTAAACTTGGGACCTTATGCCTGTGAGGCAGGTGGTGGAACCACTGGGCTAAATCCCCAGCCCAAAATAAAGTATTTTTAAAGGTGTTGGGAATGTAGCTCAGTGTAAAAGTCCTGAGTTTGATCTCCAGTACCACAAAATAAACTAACAGCAGTATAGCTTCTAATTGGTAGTATTTTAGGAGACTGGAATATTATCAGTACTGGATTTTACAAGGCTTAGTTTATTAGCTTCTTGTCTCTGCTTGGTTTCCTCACTGATAAAGAATTCACAGTAGGTCTTTTCATGTAGATCTTAGATCATTACAAAGAATGGATTGATTTCTCACAGTTTAGGGGGGCTAAAAAATCCAAGATCAAGGTGCTGGCAGTTCCCAGTGTCTGGTGTAGGGGACTTCTTAATCTCCAGACAGCTCTTAACTCCATTCCCTCACATTGGCAGAAGAGAGTTAGAGCACTCTGGGGGTATACAGTGTACAGCGGAGTATTTTAGAAGGATACTCAAATTCCAAGGAGCAAACCTCCTGATACTCCTACACACTGGGGGGTTAGGATCTTGAGGGGAAGGAATGTAAACATACAGGCAAATTTGCAATGATAAAAATCTGTTTTAATTTCAGGAGATGAAGTAACGAGGGTAAAAATCCACTGGACAGGTGACAGCTTGTTTATATGAGAGCTGATGAGAGTTCTCCCTAGCTCCACCTTGAGAAAAACTGGTCAGATGTCATGTAAAAGAATTCTTTTAAACACAAAGATAAATGGATTCATATTGTAAAACAGTCTCTCTCCATATGTCCTCATCTAAAAGTAGCTTTGGTTTTTTTGATACCAGGAATTGAACTCAGGACCTTGTGCTTGTGAGGCAGGCACCGGTGCCACTGATGTTTTTAATAGTTCCTATGAAAGCTCACCACAAAAAGATTTTTGAGCCAGTGGGAGTGATAATAAATTAACTACTGTGGGTATACAGCTGTACAGTCGGTCTTTCTCTGCTAATCCTCCTGTTTTAACTGCTCAAAGTGCTGGGATTACAGGCATGTGCCACATCACACCTCATTTTAATTCTAAAGACATTCCTGTGAGACAGGTGGTATTACCTTTGGTTTAGTAACTTTCTTAAGGCCACACAGCTAGTAAAGCTCAGGTCAGTGTCTTCTCCTTTTGGCCAGCCCAGTCTCCACCCGCTTTCTGTAAAAATCACAGTATCTCCCAGACTCTTGTTCTATTGCTTCTCTACCCCTGAATTTCACAAGTGTGTAAGGAACCACCTGTATACTATGTTAAGGTCTAGGAAAGTATAGTCTCTAGAAGGCTCTTTATTCCTCTCCATCATTTTTTTTTTTTGTACTGGGGATCGAACTTGGGTCTTTGCACTTGTGAGGCAGGCCACCAAACCACTGAGCTAAATCCCCGGCCCTTCTCCACCTTTTTCTTAAAGGAAGGACTTGAACCTATTTTTTAACGACCTAGTAGAGGGCCTCTTGACAGATGCTTGTCTTGTTCAGTATCAGAACCCTTGAACAGTACACTGCCTGGTTCATGAACATTCAGTAAGTGTTTAAATCCAGTTCACGTCATATATTTATTTTAAAACACATCTTTGCTTGCTCTGTAGAAATTAAGTAGTGACTGGGTATTTAGGACTCTCCAAGGGTAAAACTATGTTTCACAGACACATCATTTGTGAAGGTCTGAAGTCAGTGCAGATGACATTTTGTGAACTCGTAGCTCTACCATTAACTCATGCCATAGCCTTGCTGAAGGAAGTGGTTTTTTTACATTAAAGCCAAAGCCATTTCCCCATTGCTCCACTTACTGATTTGTGCTGCAGGTCTATTATGTTCATGGATTTTAGCCTTTGGAAGGTAAAGATTTTTAAAATCGTGTTATAATGTACTTGAACACAAACCACTCTGGGCTATTTAATAGGTACCAGGCTTGGAGTAAGTTCTCAACTATAACTATGTTTAAAGAATACAGAGTTAATTCTGAGATAATTGTCATTCTTCTCCTCCCATCCAGTAAGGTTTCTAATGTAAAAAGTACAACAACCTATTACATTCTTTTTAGGTTAAGATTATGGAGATGAAATGCAAAGAAGAGCCAGTGAGTCAGAAAAATCAAAACTTTTGTACTTAGAATCTATACATTAAAGAGGGAAAAGGTGATCTTAGCTTCTTTTGAGACCATGTAAGAACTAGGATGGTGCCACTGTCTACTTACTTGTTGATACATTTTCCCGCAGTGCTGGTCCCAAAGGTGACAACATCTATGAGTGGAGATCTACCATTCTAGGGCCTCCAGGATCTGTGTATGAAGGTGGTGTATTCTTCCTGGATATCACTTTTACTCCAGAATATCCCTTCAAACCTCCAAAGGTAAGAAACCCCTATTTTAGCTTTTCACTACAGAACTAGATTTCTATTATGTCTTTGTTTTTGGTACCAGGGATCGAACTCGGGTCATTGCGCTTGCAAGGCAGGTGCCAGAACCACTGAGCTAAATCCCTGGCCTTGTATTATGTCTTAAGGAATCTGTGTGTATGTGAGCATACCAAAACACTTTGAGCAACTGTGGGTCTCATTTGGCAGAGACCATATCTATTAATGAGTGTTTTAAGTTGTGGTATTTTTGTTTGTTTTTATGAGACAGGGTCCTACTGTATCATGCTGGCCTTGAACTCTCAGTGATCCTGAGTGTTGGAATTACAAGTGTGTGCTAGCACACCAGACAAATTCTACTACTTAAAAAAAAAAAAAAAAAAAAAAGTGTTAACATCCATGCACCCGACAATCAGAATCACCTGCTAAAACTTTGAACTGCTTTTTCTCATCTTTTGGGTTTGGTCAAATCACCAGTGTTCTATGACTAATATAAGTGAAGATCACCCAAATCACCCTTTCTTGTAAAACCCAACAATCTATGATTCTCATGGCCAGTCAGAAATAGCAACAAGAGTTGAAAGTTTACAGTAATTTCTGGGTTAATTTTTTTTTTTTAATTTTTACATTGGTAAAAGTTAGGAAACCAAACTAAGTAACTGATGCTCATGTGGCTTGTATTGATGGCTTGTAATAATCTAATCTGATGATTTCGGTAGAATGTGTGGATCTGGTGTATGAATCATAAAAGCAAAAATATATTTCCAGATTCTATGTAGCTTTTATGGGTGTATAGCCATTCTTTGGCAAATTTTAATGAGTCTTTTATGGTTCTCAGTATTTATGATGCTGAAGAGCTTACTTTGGAGCAGTGTAGTACTATCAGCTAACACTAGAGGTCAGCAATTAGCTGTCCAAACTTGCTTTTTGTCAGTTAGTTTTAAATGAAATTGACAATACTAGAGGTTGTATGAAAGAATTAAGTAACTTTTCCTGTCAGCTTTAAATTACTTTATTATGTTATTCATCTTTTAACAATCAAAATAGCTAGGAGTTTGTTTAGTATCATTCATTTGAAAGTTTGCTGTTTGAATTTGACACTACCTTATTTTTCTAGGTTACATTTCGAACAAGAATCTACCACTGTAATATAAACAGTCAAGGAGTTATTTGCTTGGATATATTGAAAGATAATTGGAGTCCAGCACTAACTATTTCTAAAGTCCTCCTTTCTATCTGCTCACTTCTTACAGACTGTAATCCCGGTAAGGTTATTAATAATTTTTTTACTTTAACTAAGGCTTTTTTGAAAGATTTCTTTTTCTAGGAGCTTTTCAAAGAAAGTTTTTAATTGAGGAGTTGAATTCAGTTGTTGAAAAATATAGCAGCTTTATCACTAATTCATTTGTTCTAGGAATGAGATGTTAAGATTTACATGTTTGTCTGGGGTTTTCACATTTTGATTTTTTTTTTTTTTTTTAATATACAGTTCTTTTAAAACCACCTACTCTAAATGCCAGGTTTCCTGTATACTGGCATGGTAACTTGAGGTGGCATTCGGTTTTGAAAATGCTCCCCTCCTTTTTTTGGCTAACTGCTGAATGATTTACTGAATTGTGATTTTTGTTGTTGTTGTTATTGTTGGACCTTCATTTCCTTTTATTTTAAAAAATATTTTCTGGCTAAACTAAATATAAATACTCTATGTTCAGAGAAAAGGTCCAGGTTTTGACCCCTCAACCTGGTTTATCCTCAGGCATACTGCTAAACAGTGTTACCTGTGACAGCCATGAAGGTTTCACAGGCCCATGATGAGTGCCACTGAGCTGAAGATCCTATGAACACAACTGTGTGTTCATGGTAGGCTGGAGCCTCAAACTTGAGTTTTATGGAACACACAGCAGAGAAACTCCATTGAGTGTTATTTTCTGGGAGAGAAGTAAAATAAGGAAATAAAGCCAGAGCATTCTATTTCTATAAGACTCTCCCTCCCCTGCCTCATTCACTTGTGCTTTCTCCGGGGAAATGGTATTTCTAACAGGTTTGATCACAAATACTCTGTTGTAATTGGCTATGAAATGTAATTTCCCTCTCTCCAAAGTAATCTAGTGTTTTTCCCCCCCAGCTGACCCTTTGGTGGGAAGTATTGCCACTCAGTATATGACCAACAGAGCAGAACATGACAGAATGGCCAGACAGTGGACCAAGAGATACGCTACATAAACTGGGTTTTCACAATTCTTGCGTTGTCTGTCACAGAAGAGAGCTGCTTATGATTTTGAAGGGGTGGGGGAGGGTGGGAGTTGGTAAAGAGTAGGGTATTTCTATAACAGATAATATTCAGTCTTATTTCCTAAGATTTTGTTGTAACTTAAGGTATCTTGCTACAGTAGACAAAATTGGTAATAGCAACTTTTAAAACTCATTAGTTCTACAGTATTGGCTGAAATATAGTACAGAAAAGAATGTACATTTAGACATTTGGATTCAATTGCTTGTAGTATGTAATTTTTGAATTTTTGAACAGCTTAATTTTGTACAGGTTATACACGTGGCCATTTATGTAAAGTCATTGTAGGATGGCATACTTTGTTTAAAAAATTGGAATTTGTTTTTCCTTTCTTGGAAGGGAACATTGATATTTAAGAGAATTTTTAGAGACTGTCATCTCACATAAATTTATATATAGACATGCAGACATGTGGCTATAAGACACCATGTAGGAAATGAGTAGTTTAAAGTATTTTATTTTATATGGAATTTACTTTAAAGGTTTGAATCAGGACTTGGGAGAGCCTGTAGTGAAATACCTTAAGCTGTTAACTGTAAGGCGTGGAATAGGAGTCACTCAGTGGATTGGTTATATGTTGTAGACTTCTTACGTCTGCATTTGTTACTGTGCTAATAAACCATATTAAAAACAATCAGCTGACACTTCTTTGTTCATTTACTTTCCTTTTGGTTGTAGTTTCCAGATTTTTCCCTTAAAATAATGAAATACAATTTACCTTTAAGACTGGTACTTTATACAACAGTACATCAGGAGATGTCTTGAAAAGGTTAAATCCAACCCATCTATGTTGCAAACACAAACTACTGTATCTTTTTAATTTATTGAATAAATAAATGTCCAGAAATGGACTCTGGATCCGAGGGCTAGGATCACCACTGCATCTTTTAAAAAGCATTTTCTAACTTGTAGATGCTGCAGGAGAAAGTATATAAGAAATGGATTCTGCCATGAATATTCTGCCAGAATTCTGGGTGGTTTCACTCACCCAGAGAGCAATTTCCACAAGCGGACCTCCAGGCAGCCCCTAAGCACACATACATTCACTACAGCTTTTTACAAGGGTATGGTAACTCTACGGATACTCACACAGGTCTACTTTGCATTCAGGAGGAATAAAGCCAACTATGAGTTTATTAAATTACAACAGCTTATTTATAAGAATTATTGTTTAGTTTCACTAATGTGAGCAAACTAATCTTTAGACTACTCCTTTAGGGCCGGGGATTTAGCTCAGTGGTTCCGCCTGGGTTCGATCCCCAGTACCAAAAAAAAAAGTACACCATTTAAAACGTTAGTTTACTTGATGTTTCAGTGTATACTTTGCTGAACAGCTTACTTCATATTAACTCAAGTTGAAGTCAAGTGGCTTACATCCTCTTTACGTATAATGCCATCTACATACTAAGTAAAATGAACCACATTGCTCAGGTCTTGCCAAATCGTCAGAGAATCACAGTTTGCCGAGTATTGTATCATATATTTTACTGCACCTGACTAGGCATCTGGAAAGACACGGTATTCCTTCTATGACATGGAAGCTTCACTGTCCTTAAGTGCTAGGTCATTCTTAAAGAAGACCCTCTTTTGTTTATCAACATGCTGGAGGTGAAGAACAAAGAGGCCTCTGGGTATGATAAACCTATTTCCACTGCCTACTATTGCATGTTAAATGAAATTACTCCCAGTTCTGTCTTAATTCATTGAGATCTCCATGAGATAAAAATTATGTAGTACCCAAACTGTTCATTGATACTAGTCCTACTTGGTTACATGAAAATTATTGTTTCATAATCTTAGACATTAAATGATTAATGAACTTCTAAAACATGCTTGAGCTAAAAAGTTTACGTACATTTATACAGAATATGATAGCTTCTGAAACATGGGGTTACAAAGGGTGCATTTGAATAGTAATCAAATTTTATTTTGCTATTTTGACAACTGCAACATAAATGACAAATGCCAATTTCGGGGACGAGCTTCAAGAGAGAATGAGAATATACTGTGTACCAAGCAGTAACAAGCTTACTAGTATAATAATTTCCTAATTTAATTATTACCTGGAGTGCATTAAATTACTTAGGGGCTTCTTTAAAGGCCAAAACTAGATACAAATGGCCTACTTTAAAAATTAAGCTTATTCAGTATTCAGTTACAGGCAGTCACTCTCAAACAGTTGTGTAATTGCTGATTTTTAGTTTTCAGAGCTAGAGTTTCCTTTGTTTTTCCTCCCAGGCAGGGGGAAGCTTGATTTGCTCTGGGGTTGGGAAAGTTTACTGGCTAACAAAGTGAACGGCTCTATCAGAGTTTTCCGGTCCGTAACAGTTACCTCCCACAGCCGCACTTTCTCGCTCTTTGCCCACTGCTGTGCCACTTCAGCATCCACTTGTCTCTGCTCAGAAAGGTCAGTTTTGTTTCCTAATACAACAATTGCAACCTGAAAGAAAATGCATTAGATAAATTACACTACTGCTTCCCCAACATCAGATTTTAGACGAAACTGACAAGGAAGAAACATTGTCCCATTTAACAGACTGCTTTATTAAAGAGTAAGGTATTCACTGTTTTCCTGAGTGCCTTTTTCTTTTAAAAAATGTATATGTACACCCACACATATACGTATGTACATGTGTTCTACAAGATGCTGTCAGAAAAACAGGTGAAGGGCTTTTTTTTTTTTTTTTTGCTACTAGGGATGGAACTCAGGATCTTGCCCTTGTGAGGCAGGGGCAGTGGCCCTGGGCGAAATCCCTGGCCCAGGTGAAGTTACTTTTAACTCAGGTATGAATAGAAGATAGCCTTGGAAATTAACATCCTGGATAATAGCTTCAGTGTGCATTTGTTTGGCTCTGCCTCGGTGTTGCGGTTTATACCTAGATGTCCCATTACCAAAACCTCACGTGCTCACAGGTGGGCTGTGCAGAGATGACTGCTACAGGAGCATGAAACTCAGGTGGATTAGTTTATAGCTAAATGTGTCAGAAGAGCAGGGTCACTGGGGATGTGTGGCCTGGAAACCTCTCTCCCTCCCTGATCTCCCCCTCTGCTTCCCACTGCCACACGCCATGAGCTGCTCCTCTGCCACAGAGCCCCGTGATCATGGACTAGAACTTTACAGACTGTGGGTATCGTGTCTCAGCAGCAAGAAAGTGACTTAGGACACTGCCTCGTGAACATCCCTCACATTACTGTGCTTGTAGTTCCTGATGACTTCACTAGCCATGTTGGTGCTTCTGACTTCTCCAGTGAGCTTATTCTGACCTCAGCCATTTAGACCCTGACACTGTATCTGCTCCCCTGTGTGACACTGACCCTACCTTCCCAGGCATGCCCAATACCCTAAGTGCAGCAATTTTAATGATACACTTACTAGCTCTACCTTTTATCACTGTCCTTTGACCCCACTCATGTCCTTAACTCCTCAGCTCAGGTTCTTCTAATCCACTTCCTTACCCATTACCCCGTCATACTCACCTGGCAGAATTTAACTTACACCACACTGCTTATACCACTGTGTGTAATTTCACCCATAACCACTGACCTCAAGCTGGTGTGCCCCAGCAAATGTATTAAATTTTCTCCATTTATTCTGTAACCAGACAACATCTCAGACCTGGCCCACTCCTCCAAGTTAACACCTTTTCTTTCATTTCATTTGGAGACTCAGTCTAAACAAGAAAAAATTCTCAAGCAGTTTCTTCCACACTAAATGCTGCCTTCCAACCCCCCCACCCTCTTAAGCCTGGACCAAGAGTGTCACCACAGCAAGCATTCTCCAAGGTTCCTCTTTACTGAGTCATTCCCATTAACATTCACACATATTCTATTCCCTCTCATCTAATTAAAGCGTTTTAATGCCACACCCTTCTCCAGGTCCTTCTATTGTTTTATAGCAATCTTTCAAGGAGCTGACGGTTGTGTTCAATTCTCTCATACCTATTCCAGACGTAAGCTCACTATTTCACTAAAACTATTTTTCTATGGAGGTCCATGTAATAAAGACTAATTCTTAGTCCTCAGTTGACCTATGTGTAGCCTCTGACAGTTTGGTTACTCTCTGGTTTTTAAAGTGCTGGCTTTACTTCCTTTCTGGTTACCCTCATCTCAAGATTCTACCTCACTGGCCACTTCTTCCAAGTCCTTGGCTGGTTTCTCATGGCCCCACATCCCCAAGAGCCTCGTGTGCTCACAGACAGGGTACCTGGAAGAAGGTGACTGGACTGGGACTTGCGGTGAGGATGTGGAATCTTCTGAGAGGCTGCTGGACACTAGGGGAATGGCCGGGAAGGGTTTATATCCTGCTCCAGCTCCTTCCTTTGTCTCTGCTTCCTGTCCTCCAGAGAAGAGCAGCTCATACCATCCAGCCTTGCAACAAGCCTACTATGAATGGAAACCTCTACAAACTATGAGCTAAAGTAAGCCTCTCCTTTTAAAATATTTTACTCGTTTATTTAACTTGAGACCGGGTCCCACTTTGTAGTTCAGGCTGGCGCTGAACTCAGTATGTAGCCCAGGCTGACACCAAACTCGTGCCTATCCTGCGTCAGCCTCCCAAGTGCTGGAGTTACAGGCCTGTGCCACCATGCCCAGCCTCTCCTTTAAATTGTGGATGCTGGGCATTGTCTCAGAAACAAGAAAAGTGACTTAAGATACCCTCCAGTTTGTAAATGTTACACTTCTCGTGTCTACTACCAAAACACCAGCTACAGTGGTCAATGTAATATGACAAAAGTTCAACCTCATTCATTTAAAGAAAAAAATGAAACTTTTCAAGAAATCTAAGTCTGACCACATGCTGTTGTCAGGACTGGATAAAAAGGCTTTTTCAAACTAATGCTGTGGAAAGTAATGTGGCAATAAACCCCACTTAAACTGACTAATTTTACCTGTAAAAAGTAAAACATTTCAAAGGCATGCTGAAGGCTCAAATCTGTCCTTTGGGACAGAGGGGAGAGTGCTGGGAACTGCAGCTGGGGCTTCATGCATGTCCCAAGCATGTTTACCACAGCTTTGCCCCCAGGCCCTAGGTACAGGGTTCTGGTGGTTAAGGACTGAGACGGGAACCGATTTCCTAAGAGTCCACTCCACTGTCATTCTCATTTTCTGAACCATATTACAAGCATTACCTACTCAATTTTCTCATTTTCTGAACCATATTACAAGCATTACCTACTCAATTTTTACAGAAAACAGGAAAGTTTCTGGGTGTGGTACCATATGCCTGTAATCCCAACATTCGGGAGGAAGAGGCAGGAGAAATGGGATGAGTATGGGGTCAGCCTGGGCTACACAGTGAGCTCAAGCCTAGCCTGAACTACATAACAAGATCTGTTATTTATTTATGGTACTGGGGATCAAACTCAGGACCTTATGCTTGTGAAGAAGCAGGCGGCAGAACAAGATCTGTCTTTTTAAAAAAAAAAGGATTGCCAGGCATGGTGGCGCATGCCTATAATCCCAGCACTCAGGAGGCTGACGCAGGAGGATTGCTGTGAGTTCGAGACCAGCCTGAGCTACAGAGTGAGTTCTAGGTCAGTTGCAACTACATAGTGAGACCCTGTCTCAAAAAAAACGGAAAAGAAAAAATGAATAAATGCAAATTAAGTCACATCATTTCTTTACTCAGAACCAATGGGTTCTGATCTAACAGTGAAAGCCAAAGTACTGTGGTCATCAGGGCTGGGGATTTAGCTCAGTGGTCCCCCTGCCTGCCTCCTGCCTCACAAGCGCAAGGACCTGAGTTCAATCCCCAGTACCAAACCAAACAAGCAAAAGTGTCGCCCTCATCTCCTATTACTCACTTCTGAGCCCAGTCTAGCCTAACTGCTGTTTGCCAAGCCTGAAGACAAACAGGCCTGGACCCTAGCATTAGCCATCCCCTCCACCTGGGGCATGCTCCCTCCGTCCTCATTTCCTTCAGGTGTCTATCAGGGAGGCCTTCCCAGATCACCCTGCAGGGACTGGGGCCTTCCTTCACTCCCCACTCTGCATGTATACATACATCTTTACTGCCACGCCCCCTCACCCCAAAATAGATGCTTTATGATAGAACAAGGACTCTTCCCTGTTGCATTCTCTGCACCTAGAACAGTGGGGCTACACCCAATAGTTGCTCAATAAGCATTTTTTGGAAATTATGCTTTGGAAAGTTCCATAGTAACCATCTGAGAAAGGTATTCTCATTACACAGGTAAGGGACTGGCAGAAAGGCTGAAACAGGCAAGATTTAAGAGTTAAGTGAGTGTTCACTGAAGTGTTCTTCAACTTTTGAGGGGCCCACGGGAATCAAGGATATTTTTAAAAGTATAGCATTTATCTGGGAAAGAAATAGGAAAGCTGTCATTACTTGCCTTTTTGTTATCTTTTGAAAGTAGAGCCTTTATGAATGTTATATTTACAAAGAATTCAAAAGAGTAAAAATAACTCCGATGTCTTTCAACACGTATGACATATACGTGCTGTGATTTTAAAAAATATGGCGAGTGTTGGTGTTGGTGTGTGTTTATTACAGTAAAAGCCACATTTCCATTAATCCCAATTGGGAACTGAACCTAGAGTGATTTAGCGGGAGGGGTTGAGATGGGCTCTCGCTATATAATTCAGGCTGGCCTCAAACTCACAGCAGACCTCCTGCCTCAGCTTCCTGAGTGCTAAGATTACAGGCACGCAGCACCACACCTGGCTCATGCTTGGCATTTTTAACATACCCACCTACCTCTTTTTTGTCTTTGAATTTGTCGATTTCTTTCTTCAGAAGCTCCACTCTTTGAAAAGATTCAAGGTTATTCACACTGTACACAAGGACAAAGCCGTCAGCAAATGAAAAATAATGCTTTGGCAACTCAACACCTTGCTGTAGGCCTCTGGTGTCGTAGAGATGTAACTGCTCCTTTACTCCGCGGTCAGTTTCCACAGAAGCCATATACACATCTTCCACTGTTTCACAATCTTCCATCCCTGGGGTTAGGAAGAGATTACTCTGTTTGGATAAGCCAGTGCTGGTTTTTCAGTATTTCCTTGTCCTTTAGCAGTTGGTTTTCTAACTTCCCTGTTTACCACATGTAATAATCACATTTCTATTTTCCTCACTTCTTGAAAATGAAAAGTAGTGGTTCAGTCCACAAACAGGGCTGGGGATATAGCTCAGTGGCCAAGAGCTCACCCAGCCTGTACAAGAGCCTGAGTTCAATCCCCAGCACTGAGGGCAAAAAAATGTTCAAAAGTCATAGTAAATGAATAAAGTATTTTTAAAAATATTTATTCTATATAGAAATAAAAGTAATAAAAAATTGGCAGTGAGTTTTGTTTTTGTGGTGTTTTTTGTTGTTGTTTTTTGTTTTTTGTTTTTGTTTTTGGCGAAACCGGGGATTGAACTCAGGATCTTACTCTTGCCATCCAGGTGCAACGCCACTGAGTTATACCCTTTTTTTGGTACCTGGGATCAAACTCAGGACCTTATGCTTGCGAGGCTAAATTCCTGGCCCTACTATTACCTATTTTTAAGTAGTACCTATTACAAGAATAAAAATATCTAAATTGGAGTTACAGGCTGATTTAAAAAGTAGCTTCAGCGTTGGCCCCTTTTTCTTCTGTCAAGAGCCAAGGACAGGACAGAACTTGGTGAAGATTTACTATTCTTGTAGAACTCCAGCATCTCTGAGGGAATAAGAACTTCGGGTGTCCAGCTGGGGCCTGAGCACCAAGCCTCTGACTCCCAAGCACACCCACCGGCCACTCTCACAGCCACTTCAAGCTAATCGAACCCGTCCCCGTCCCTCCCAACACCCGTTCTTCCTTGCTTTCTTTCCTTGATCGCCGTGGACTGGGCAGTCTTCAGGGTTCTTTTTGAAGAAGCAAAGTGTGAAACTGCTATTAAGCAGGCACCCTAAAGGTGAAGCATCGTTCGGTCACTGCTTCCTTCTAGTCCCACCGGCTTGTTTTCTCCTGAACTAAGGCCGGGGGCTCAATAAACACCTGGTAAACATCTCGTACTCCAAAGGTGCTGCTGAAATGTCAGCTACATGGACTGTCCCAGAATTACTGTAACCTTTTCCCTTTCTGCTATCAGGCCTTGTAGAGTGTATACTTTTAATCTTTCAAATCTATCCTCTCAAGGGCTGAGGATTTAGCTCAGTGGTTCTGGAGCCTACCTCAAATCTATCCTCTCCAAATGGAGTGAAAACACTTTTAAAGCCTGGACAGGTTTATCTCTCTTTGTAGCTCTAAGAACAAACTGATTTCATAAAAAGTTCTTAATAAATGTTTGAAAATAAAAATTTTCAGAATAAACAAATGTTTGCTGTGCCAGTAGTGGCGGCATATGCCTGCAACCCCAGCACTAAGGGAGGCTGAGGCCAGAGAGTAGCTGAGTTCAAGGCCAGCCCAGGCAACTCGCCAAGACCCTGTCTCAAAAAAAAGTGTGGGGGGGGCGGGATATAGCGAAGTAGTAGAGCACCCGGACTTGATCCCTAGTACTGCAAAACAAAATACAGTAAGTCCCTGACTTACGAACTTAAATGTCACAGGTATGAACGGACCTCACGTTACAAACAGTAGATGTGAACAAACCGGAAGTAGCACAGCTGTGCTGCCGGTGCTCACTGTACAGGGCGACGGGGCACAGTGGTGCAGCGCTTAGCCAGAGCCAGGACGTCGGAAGCAAAAGGAAAAGCAGTGGTGATAGGGACGGACCGCTGGGAAGGGCAAAGCAATAACTACGCAAACGAAAGTGAACGATTGAGAAATTGGACCGAGGTGAAAAGATGGTAGACCTTGCTCATTCTTATAAATCATTCGACCGTGGCACAATTCTAAAAATCATGGAATGTAAAATTGTTTTCTGTTTTACTAATATTATACATCTGCGTCAAAGACTCACTTTGTCAGACTTACAAACGCATCTGACTGACGAACATTCTCCCGAACAGAACCTGTTCATCAATCAGGGACTTGCTGTGAACGTTCGCTGAATGAATAAAGGACCTCAAAACCCAATTTCAGTCCCTTTCCTGGCTGTTACAGTTAACTGTGGATAAGAAGCGCCCAGCAGACTAGTTCAGCGCAGTCCTGGTAAGTGTGAATGAGACTGACCGGGGCGGGATGTCCCACCCTGCATGTGGGTGGCACCGACCCACAGGCTTGTAGCCCAGGTGGAATAGAGAGAGAAAGGAAGACGACTTGCTTTTACTTCAGAGGAGCTCCTGTCTTCACCGCTCCTTTGGACATCCACCTCCACGCTCCCAACAGGCGCCCCTCTGCGGTGAGCCCTAGGCCTCCGACTCTGGGCGGCATCCTCTGGGTCTCTGGCGCGCAGACAGCCCTTCTGCGTTCTCCCACCGACTCTGGAGGTGGCCACTGTGAGCTTGAAACTACCTTGTACATCTTTTATATGTCGTATTTTTATACTAATCCTGTTCCTCTTGTGAACCCTAATATACTGGTGGTCCTCCAGAAATGTAGTTTTCCACTTTGTTCCACTTGGGCAGGGTTTGTCTCTTCTACACTCTGTAAATTCCTTGAGTGAAAGGAAGTATTCTGTATACACAGCAATTAATCTTTCATTGATAAAGGAATTGAGAGAAAATTAACACTGAATTTTAATGAGTAGTGCAGAGGCGTGTGATAAAATGGGTACAGTGCAGCTGGGGATTTAGCTCAGTGGTACGGCCTCCTACTTTGCAAGAGCAAGGACCTGAGTTTGATCCCCCGGTACAAAAAAAAAAAAAAAAAAAAAAAAAGAGGTCCAGTTGGTCCCACTAACCACTTTCATGTTTAAATATGAGCCCTGTCCAGAAGTGAAATCGTTTAGATTAACATGCTAAATTTCAAAAATTTTTCTGAGAGCTGGTTACTTCCCCTAAATAGCCTGAATACTGTAGGATTACTTGCTCCAGATGTCTCTCATAAATACTAAATGAAATAAATCTCCATAAATGTTAGGTTTGTAGGAATAATCATGTAACAATATATAAATGGGATCATGCACAGCCAAAAAATTTACTTTTATCAGCATAAGTCTTTACATTATGGAACATGCTCAGTGTTTAGTAAGGAAAGACTCCATAAATTTGCTTATGTACCTGTGTCATCATGCCTTAAATTAAGCCTAAAGGAAATTAAATGTTACTCTATTTAAAAACATAATGTGTTGCCGGAGATTTAGCTCAGTGGTTTCGCTGCCTGCCTTGCAAAGTCAAAGGCTGGAGTTCAGTCCCCAGTACCAAAAACAAAACAAAACAAAACAAAAAAAAAAACCCATAATGTGTTGAACTTTGATTACAAAGAAATTAAAGTGAAAACTAAATTAAAAAGCAAAAACTCTACCAAAGCTAGCGTGGTTCCCCTACTCCCACCAGCTCTGCAAGCTCAGGCTTCCTGATACTGTGTTTCTCTACAGACCAACTGAAGTCATGACTCTTCCCATGGCTCTCTAGCTCTCCTGGCCACTTCACACTGCTGAGCACCAGTCTTATCCTGCCAGCAGAAAACAGAAGGCACAGTCCTGGGCAGGAAAGCCAGAGGCTCCAGGACCATGGGACAGAGGGCATAAGGAGTTCCACAGTGAAAACTAGGGGCAGTTAAGTAACATGCCTGCACACACGTACACTGGATGATAGACACTACTTCTCAAGCTTTCTTCCCTTGCCCTGCTCTCAAAATTTTGGCAGATTACCCTTTATCCCTACATAGCTGGGAGTGGTGGTGCACACCTGTAATCCCAACATTAGAGAGGCTGAGGCAGGAGGATCACCACCCTGGGTTACCTAGTGAGTTCAAGGCCAGTCTGCACTACATAGCAAGACTCTATCTCAAAAACAAAAATCAGCCAGGCATGGTGGCACATGCCTATAATCCCAGCACTCGGGAGGCTGAGGCAGGAGGATCGCTGTGAGTTCGAGACCAGCCTGGAAAAAAAAAAAACCCTACACAGAGGAATCAGAAATCCAACCAATGGAAAAAGAAAGATTTTAAATATTCTGATATCTAAGGCTCCCAACAATTGCCCCATCCCAATCACCTTACTGAGTACCAAAGTCATGAGTCCTATCCATATGCTGAAGAGTTCCCAATTAGTTTTGTAGGTCTCCACTCTCTATTTTAAGCAAATAACAAAGCTCAAGAAATGAAGGCCAAAATCAGAAAAGAGCATCTGAGAGGAAACAAACTACGCAAAGAAAAACTACCTTACCTAATACGATGTCAAAGAGACAAGATAGTGCATCCATGAAGTAAGAACAGCATAGTAACAGGGCCCAGGATTTAGCTCAGTGGTTCCGCTGCCTGCCTTGCCAGTGCAAGGGCCTGAGTTTGATCCCCGGTACCAAAAATCAAAAACAAAAACAAAAAAATAGCATACTAACAAATAAAAATTTAACAGAAAAGGGAATATATAAATATGAAGAAATCTCCCAAAAAGTACAGAAAAAAAAATTAAGAGATAGAAAACAGGAGGAAAAATAAGAAAATTGGAGAATCAGTGTAAGAACTCCAGAAAGGGAAAACACAGAATAGAGAGAAAGGACAGCATCAACAAAGTAATTCAGAACTAAGAAACACATTTCCATACTGAAAGGACCCAGTGAAAGCCAGGCATGGTGCACCACCTGAAAGGCTGAGTCAGGAGGATCATCACAAGTTCAAAGCCAGCCTGGACTACATGGTTCAAGGCCAGTTTGTCTCAAAAAGCAAAAACAAAAACAAGTTTAGTGCCTAGTACACTGGAAGAGACAGATTCTATAAGAAATCACTGTAAAATTTCCCACCAGTGGTGTCTTGGTCCATTTATGCTTGTATTATAACAAGATACCACACAAACTGGGTAGTTCATAAACAAAACTTTCACACAGTTCTGGAGCCCGGGACATCCAAGATCAAGGCACCGGCAGATCCAGTGTTTAGGAGTGGCATGCTCTGTATTTGTCCTAGCTCCTCGGCCCCATGCAGCACTGTCACCTACA